TAACATCTTTTATTTGACTGTGTACATGTGAAAAGCTAGACTAAGGCTTAGTCTCTGAATATATATAATTTTCAAAGTAACAAACAAGCCCATTTAAATTGAAAAGGAGACCAGAGATCCTGAACCTGGGGAAGTCTAGACTTGCTTCGTTTATGGCTTTAGCACTACAGGGAAGGCTAGGCTGTAGGGAAAATAATGTGGTTCAGGGACTGTGAGACAGACTAGTAATAAGCTTGTGGCAACACTTGTTGGAATGGATCAAACATATAACTGGAATCAGTTTAGAACCAAATGTAACACATATCATATTTGGTTACAAAGAAAAAAAAACCGATGTACTAAACTTGATTTTTATTGTTGCCAATATAACATATATATACTGAACTGCAAAAGAAACGCAAGTATCGAAAAAACGAAACCTCATAAAAGTAAGCGTTCATGTTGATGGAACGTTCATGGTAAAGTGACGCAGGCCAGACCTGCGTTTCTTTTGCTGTTCAGTATATATGCGAATGCCAGAAAAAAAGCTGCACATAAATGGCCTTAAGTTAGTTTTAAAATACTCCTATAACGTCAGAAAGCATCTTCTCTACGCAGATTGTAGATATGAACAATTCGTCTCCTTCTGGTCTTCATTCCCGACTTTTTACATCATTGCTTTTAGTTGTATTCTACCATATTGAAATGGATGCCATGAAACAGAAAATGTCTGGATCAACAGTATACGCTATGTTGAAAATGTATGTGTAGATGTTGTGATGCCTATGAAAAATACATTAAATACAATACATGAAGTGATAAAAAAAGTTATATACAATACATTCAGATAGTGAATACAATACATTAAATACAATACATTATATACAATACATTCAGATAGTGAATACAATACATTATATACAATACATTATATACAATACATTCAGATAGTGAATACAATACATTAAATACAATACATTATATACAATACATTCAGATAGTGAATACAATACATTATATACAATACATTATATACAATACATTCAGATAGTGAATACAATACATTATATACAATACATTATATACAATACATTCAGATAGTGAATACAATACATTATATACAATACATTATATACAATACATTCAGATAGTGAATACAATACATTATATACAATACATTATATACAATACATTCAGATAGTGAATACAATACATTAAATACAATACAGACAGGGCTGGTAACTTCAAAATGTTACCAGACAATCCAAAGGAAATCAACTAAATTTTTTAGTTACAATGAATAATTCAATGAACCTGAACATGTATTTACTGTTCATCTATTCACAGCAGTCATTTTCAATGAAATCCGACTCCGCATCGATAGGTGTCTGCTTCAGTCAGACATAGTGTAATTTATGTCAACGCAGTGCTTTGAGCTTGCGATACACTAGTTCAGTGTTCAAACAGTGATTGTCAAGTCTAAATGTAACGCTCAATTTGAAAACTAGATTTTAACATATGGTGAATTTACTCAGATGTATGGAACATGCTATCAAAAGATTTTACCAGACCATCGGGCTGGCTAGCTGTAAACTTAGACCGTCCGTCAGAAATCGAGCCCGTCTCCGGCGGTCGGACGGGCCTTATTTCATACACTGTCTTCACATGTTGGAGTCTCGTCTCAAGATCGCGGTACATCTTCCTGTATCTCAGTCTCCCAGATGACTGGAGCTGAATGATCTTCGTCTCAGTCTAAGCTTGCAGTCTGTAACAGTTTGTACAGGCTGGGACGTGGTGTCTTCATCGTCCCGTTCAGCTTGTGGTGTCTTCATCATCCCGTTCAGCTTGTGGTGTCTTCATCATCCCGTTCAGCATGTGGTGTCATCCCCCAACGTGGCGGTCCTAGGCCCTACTGTCTCAAAGTGGATCCGGGATGACCGATTGTATGTTGATCCACTGGTCTGTGACATAATCTGCAAACCTGTTAACACCTGGCACCTCTGACGGTCTGTCTTCAAGTTGAAGAACCAAGTCTTCAACTCTGTTGACGGTTAGAAGGGCAAACACTGCAGCAAGTCTAACGAAGGAATGAACAACGGGGTTGTCCTTGTAGGGAATGGCAGGCCTCCATACACACTGTGTGTAGTGAAAAAACACCACTTAACTTCAGATGTGGGAAACACTGACATCACTGCATTCCTTGCTGCTGTCTCGAAGTTTGTGAACACTGTTGTCGGCGACACAGGAACAGGAGAACGGGTACCGAGTGCGGAGAACAGATGTTCATAGGTCGTCTGCTTCTTGTCGGGTAGAAGGGCGTGTGCTCTTGTCGGGTAGAAGTGTCGAATGTACTGGTTGGAGCATCTGTGGAAAACAGGAGCATGTTGTCCTCGCTGGTATGGAAATTCTCCCCGGTCGTCATCTCTCTCCATGGACATTATAGTTTGGCATGAAATGCATGTGGACCCGTTTTTTTGTAAATATCTCTTCATCCAATGACCCAATCGATCTTAAACTGTGCAAGTGGATGTTTTGTCAGACAACCTAATCACATTGTAAATCACCGGGTTTAAGCATTTGAATTAAAGAATCTGTCTATGTAACTGTCAACAAAATAAACAGCAGAACGCAGAATGCTTGCAGAGGGCGGGAGCCAATGACCTGTAACAGCGTCAGTGTTGGGTCATAAAGGTCAATGCACGTGCAGTTCATGATAGTTACCTGTGCACTGCACAGTGATAGACCGTTTGGATCATTCACATTGACTACTTCTAGCTGTCATCATGAAAGCTTATTCAGATGATGCTAAACGTTTAATAAGAAATGTGTTGAATTTTTTTTTAAAAGAGAGCAAACGTAGCAAACCGATTGATAAGGGGTCGGATTACATGAAACTACAACTTTTGCTCTTGGCATGAAAAGAATATCGTGCTAAAAATTGTGAAAAACCCCAACAACCAATAAACAAAACCTTGTACAAAAAGGTAGGCATCCAAAGTTAGGTTCTTTTTGCGAAGATTAAAGATTTAACAAAATTGACTCGAAATGCTACTCAGTACAATACATCATGACAAGGCCGGACACTTCGGTGTACCCCACCCGCCTCCTTTGCCGATCGCTACGCTACCATCGTATGTAATCGAGTAAAACTTAATGTAAACATAATCATGGATGATTGGCCTACCGAGCACCACTCATGACACCTACCAATTCTTTATTGTTGTTTCTGCAAGTGAAACCCAATTTTGACCCTCAACTAAACGATCTTGACATAAATGTGTGACGATATGTCCGCACAAAACGGGTGTGTGGTCAAAGCACATGAGTTAACAAAGAAAACATTGCAATGGTGAAAAGCAGTTTCATTACTTGGACGGGCGATGGGGGTGGCCTAGTGGTTATTAAAAGCGTTCGCTCGTCACGCTGAAGACCCGGGTTCGATTCCCCACATAGGTACAATGTGTGTAGCCCATCCCTCGTGACCCGCCGTGATATTGCTGGAATATTATTGCTAAAAGCGGCGTAATTTAACCGTACTCACTCACTCATTACTGGGAGCACTGAACATTACGCTGATCAAATATGATGCGCTGTCTAATTTAAAGATGATAAGAGAAATATAACCCAAGTCACAACATTGTACCATTCTTATTTTCTCGTCTACTTGGTTGCGCATTGCGGTGTAAAACAGTTTCACTCACTCCGTTAACTTTGGATGCGTTCGAGTTGGTGCTCTAATGGGAACAAAGTTCTGCTTTTGTTTTATTTATTGCGTTGTAAGCGGCAGAATGGCTATACTCCTTTTCTATGTGAATTAGTCTAAAACAAATGAAGCTTGTCACAGTCATAGTAACATTGCTTCAATGGTTCTTACCTAAGACTAGCTATCAGGAAATGAAGTACTGCACCGCATACATCAACATCAAGTGGCCAACATGTCACTCGGAAGATGCGGGGTAACTTATTTGTAGGTGGTGAATGCGACAGCGAGATCATGTGATTCGGGTTTTTTACGTGAGCAAGCACAGGTAATTGAAGTGTTTTAGACCGAAGCACGAATAACAATAGATCATGTCCAAAACTTCATCTCACGAGTTGTGAGACTCGGAGGAAAGGCACTTGGAGATATGGATTTTGCCATCTGGTGACATCGTCCTATCGCCTACTGTAGATGCATGTTGTCAGATGTAGGCCGCCTTGTGACACTTTTACTCGCTAACCAATATATGACCACATGGAGTGTGTTTATTATAAATATAAACTTTATATCATGCTGACCTTTAGGTCGGTTGTATGACGGACCTTAGGGTCCGTTCTTGATTTATGGCTTAGAGGGTTGATGGTGATTTTTATGGAGAATCGTACAATGTGGATAGCGCCACCTCCCCCGACCCGAAATCAATGACAGTACTGACACCCATGTGATGCTGATTGACTGAACTGAAAACAGGAACAGTTACACCAGACAACCCTAAAAATGACAAGGAACTAATCTGTGCCAAGTTTGTAGTTTAAATTGAGCAACAATGAAAAACACATAATACATAAAAATGGTAGATTTACCTTGATATGGAATAGATTTGATTATTATTCTATAAATCCAGACCCAAATCTCTCAGGAGTATCACATATCTACACAACCTGGACTGTACGTTTTGTCTTCCCATAGTCATGAAAGTTTGTAGAGGTTTACAAGTCATGATAAACATACAGGTCCAGATTGTGAAAATAACACAAAAATAACTGTCGAAACAAGTGTGATTCAAACCAGTTTCCTTATCCAAATTGTATGATTAAACTACAGCTCTATGATACAACAATAAAACATGACATACAGACATTAACAGTATTGAAAACCCTGAACATTCACCAAAAGACTAATTTTTTGGTACAGTTCTTTGTCGAGTAATGAAAATATGATTAGTGTATATACACAGTTATGTACCTTAACCTCACCTTGATGAATCAGTGAATAAGTTACAAATATTTATCTGAACAAATTTATGTTACCATGGTTACAGGACTTCCAAGGAGGAGGGGATGGGGAAACTGCCGAAGCTTCGAGTGCTGGATGTGGCCAAACCAAAAGCCGAATTGGTCAAGAAGTCCATGTGCTCGGCCAGCTACCTGGCATCGGCCATCAAGACACTCGGCCTTGTCATTTTTTACTTCACTTTCTCTATCAGCCTCACCTTCTACAACCAGAAGTTCATTAAGGTCAGTCATTTGTAGATAATATGGTCTTACATCTAGCTTGGTATCACCTGAGACCTGTCAGTTCTAGATAATATGGTCTTACGGCTAGCTTGGTATCACCTCAGACCTGTCAGTTCTAGATAATATGGACTTACGGCTAGCTTGGTATCACCTGAGACCTGTCAGTTCTAGATAATATGGTTAGCTTGGTATCACCTGAGACCTGTCAGTTCCAGATAATGATTTTTAATATGGTTTTATGGCTAGCTTGGTATCACCTGAGACCTGTCAGTTCTAGATAATATGGTCTTACTGCTAGCTTGGTATCACCTGAGACCTGTCAGTTCTAGGTAATATGGTCTTACCACTAGCTTGGTATCACCTGAGACCTGTCAGTTCTAGATAATATGGTCTTAGGGCTAGCTTGGTATCACCTGAGACCTGTCAGTTCTAGATAATATGGTCTTACGGCTAGCTTGGTATCACCTGAGACCTGACCTCAGTTCTAGATGGTATATGGTCTCTAGACATTTTAATCTAGAGACCTGGTTTACTGTTCTAGACCTGTCAGTTCTAGATAATATGGTCTTACCGCTAGCTTGGTATCATCTGAGACCTGTCTGTTCTAGATATTATGGTATTACGGCTAGTAGATGTCCAGATCAGCGTGACCTGATATAAGTGGCTAGTTTAGTGTAACCTAAGTAGATGTCCTGATCAGTGTGACCTGATGTTAGTGGCTAGTTTAGTGTAACCTAAGTACATGTCCTGATCAGCGTGACCTGATATAAGTGTCTAGTTTAGTGTAACCTAAGTACATGTCCTGGTATCAGTTTGACCTGAGATATATTTTTTAGGTCTAGTTTAGTGTAGCCTAAGATAATATGTCCTGATAGCTTGGTGTCACCTGATATAAGTGTCTAGTTTAGTGTAGCTTATGTATCACCTGTCCTGATCAGCTAGATGATCTGGTCTTACGGCCTAGCTGGTATCTAGCCTTAGTGTAACCTGATGGTATCACCTGAGACCTGTCAGTTCTGATGATATGGTCTTAGGTAAGTGGCTAGTTTAGTATAGCCTATGTACATGTCCTGATCAGTTTGACCTGATGTAAGTGGCTAGTTTAGTTTAGCCTAAAGTACATGTCCTGTCCAGTGTGACCTGATGTTAGTGGCTAGTTTAGTGTAGCCTAAGTACATGTCCTGATCAGCGTGACCTGATATAAGTGTCTAGTTTAGTGTAACCTAAGTACATGTCCTGATCAGTTTGACCTGATATAAGTGTCTAGTTTAGTGTAGCCTAAGTACATGTCCTGATCAGTGTGACCTGATATAAGTGTCTAGTTTAGTGTAGCCTATGTACATGTCCTGATCAGCGTGATCTGGTGTAAGTGGCTAGTTTAGTGTAACCTAAGTACATGTCCTGATCAGCATGATCTGGTGTAAGTGGCTAGTTTAGTATAGCCTATGTACATGTCCTGATCAGTTTGACCTGATGTAAGTGGCTAGTTTAGTTTAGCCTAAAGTACATGTCCTGATCAGCATGATCTGGTGTAAGTGGCTAGTTTAGTGTAGCCTAAGTACATGTCCTGATCAATGTGACCTGATGTAAGTGGCTAGTTTAGTTTAACCTAAGTACATGTCCTGATCAGTGTGACCTGATGTAAGTGGCTAGTTTAGTTTAGCCTTAAGTACATGTCCTGATCAGCGTGACCTGATGTAAGTGGCTAGTTTAGTTTAGCCTTAAGTACATGTCCTGATCAGCGTGACCTGATGTAAGTGGCTAGTTTAGTTTAGCCTTAAGTACATGTCCTGATCAGCGTGACCTGATGTAAGTGGCTAGTTTAGTTTAGCCTTAAGTACATGTCCTGATCAGCGTGATCTGGTGTAAGTGGCTAGTTTAGTATAGCCTACGTACATGTCCTGATCAGCGTGACCTGATGTAAGTGGCTAGTTTAGTATAGCCTATGTACATGTCCTGATCAGCGTGATCTGGTGTAAGTGGCTAGTTTAGTGTAGCCTATGTACATGTCCTGATCAGCGTGACCTGATGTAAGTGGCTAGTTTAGTATAGCCTATGTACATGTCCTGATCAGCGTGATCTGGTGTAAGTGTCTAGTTTAGTATAGCCTATGTACATGTCCTGATCAGCGTGATCTGGTGTAAGTGGCTAGTTTAGTATAGCCTATGTACATGTCCTGATCAGCGTGTTCTGGTGTAAGTGGCTAGTTTAGTATAGCCTACGTACATGTCCTGATCAGCTTGGATCTGCTGCGCTAGTTTAGTATAGCCTATGTACATGTCCTGATCAGCGTGATCTGGTGTAAGTGGCTAGTTTAGTATAGCCTATGTACATGTCCTGATCAGCGTGATCTGGTGTAAGTGTCTAGTTTAGTGTAGCCTACGTACATGTCCTGATAGGCGTGTTCTGGTGTAAGTGGCTAGTTTAGTATAGCCTACGTACGTCCTGATCAGCGTGATCTGGTGTAAGTGGCTAGTTTAGTATAGCCTACGTACATGTCCTGATCAGCGTGATCTGGTGTAAGTGGCTAGTTTAGTATAGCCTACGCATGTCCTGATCAGCTGGATCTGGTGTAAGTGGCTAGTTTAGTATAGCCTACGCATACGTCCTGATCAGCTGTTCTGGTGTAAGCGGCTAGTTTAGTATAGCCTACGCATACGTCCTGATCAGCGGTTCTGGGTGTAAGTGGCTAGTTTAGTATAGCCTACGCATACGTCCTGATCAGCTGATCTGGTGTAAGTGTCTAGTTTAGTGTAGCCTATGTACATGTCCTGATAGGCGTGTTCTGGTGTAAGTGGCTAGTTTAGTGTAGCCTACGTACATGTCCTGATCAGCGTGATCTGGTGTAAGTGGCTAGTTTAGTATAGCCTACGTACACGTCCTGATCAGCTGATCTGGTGTAAGTGGCTAGTTTAGTATAGCCCACGCATACGTCCTGATCAGCTGATCTGGTGTAAGTGGCTAGTTTAGTATAGCCTACACGCATACGTCCTGATCAGCTGGATCTGGTGTAAGTGGCTAGTTTAGTGTAGCCTACGCATGTCCTGATCAGCTGGATCTGGTGTAAGTGGCTAGTTTAGTATAGCCTACGCATGTCCTGATCAGCTGATCTGCGTAAGTGGCTAGTTTAGTATAGCCTACGCATATGTCCTGATCAGCTGATCTGGTGTAAGTGGCTAGTTTAGTATAGCCTACGCATACATGTCCTGATCAGCATGATCTGGTGTAAGTGGCTAGTTTAGTATAGCCTACGCATTATGTCCTGATCAGCTGATCTGGTGTAAGTGGCTAGTTTAGTATAGCCTACGCATACGTCCTGATCAGCTGGTCTGGTGTAAGTGGCTAGTTTAGTATAGCCTACGCATTACGTCCTGATCAGCCGATCTGGTGTAAGTGTCTAGTTTAGTATAGCCCACGCATTACGTCCTGATCAGCTGATCTGGTGTAAGTGGCTAGTTTAGTATAGCCTACGTACATGTCCTGATCAGCCGATCTGGTGTAAGTGGCTAGTTTAGTATAGCCTACGTACATGTCCTGATCAGCGCGATCTGGTGTAAGTGGCTAGTTTAGTATAGCCTACGTACATGTCCTGATCAGCGTGATCTGGTGTAAGTGGCTAGTTTAGTATAGCCTACGTACATGTCCTGATCAGCGTGATCTGGTGTAAGTGGCTAGTTTAGTATAGCCCACGCATACGTCCTGGCTATCAGCATACGTCCTGATCAGCGTGATCTGGTGTAAGGTGAGTGGCTAGGTAATGTATCTCATAGGTCCAATACTGTGGGTGTCTGACACGAGAGCATATGAACAGACGTTTCTGTATGTCTGCTTCTCAGACATGGAATAGTGTAGGATGATGAAGGATAGTGTACCCTGTACAAATGCTACATGCTATGTGGGAAAACACATGTGCAGAAACTGAATTTCCAACACATGAATCATTTCATTGCCACTGGAGGATTTTTCATTCATTGTGGTAGTTTGTTTTTCTTTTTGTTTTCACTGAACAATATGCATGTTTACAAACCTGGAGCGTGTACTGGCTGCGTTAGTGTAGGTTGTGCCTGGATTGGAACAACAGTGAGATTATCTATTATTTGGAGCAAGACACATCTTAGTTAGATCGCTTTGACTAATATTCATTTTCACAACCTGAGTGTTTGTCGTTCTCAGGCATTGCACTATCCGCCGCTGACCTTTACGATGACCCACCTGGTGTTCAAGTTTATGAGCGCAGCGTTGTTCGCTGCATCTTGGAGTGTCGCAGCAAGGAGGAGCGGGTAACTCTGTCCTGGACTAACTATGTCAAGCACATAGCTCCCACTGGTGAGTGTGTAAGGGGTGGGTAACTCTGTCCTGGACTAACTATGTCAAGCACATAGCTCCCACTGGTGAGTGTGTAAGGGGTGGGTAACTCTGTCCTGGACTAACTATGTCAAGCACATAGCTCCCACTGGTGAGTGTGTAAGGGGTGGGTAACTCTGTCCTGGACTAACTATGTCAAGCACATAGCTCCCACTGGTGAGTGTGTAAGGGGTGGGTAACTCTGTCCTGGACTAACTATGTCAAGCACATAGCTCCCACTGGTGAGTGTGTAAGGGGTGGGTAACTTTGTCCTGGACTAACTATGTCAAGCACATAGCTCCCACTGGTGAGTGTGTAAGGGGTGGGTAACTCTGTCATGGACTAACTAGGTGAGTGTGTAAGGGGTGGGTAACTCTGTCCTGACTAACTAGTTGAGTGTGTAAGGGGTGGGTAACACTGTCATGGACTAACTAGGTGAGTGTGTAAGGGGTGGGTAACTCTGTCAAGGACTAACTAGGTGAGTGTGTAAGGGGTGGGTAACTCTGTCCTAGACTAACTAGGTGAGTGTGTAAGGGGTGGGTAACTCTGTCATGGACTAACTAGGGGAGTGTGTAAGGGGTGGGTAACTCTGTCCTGGACTAACTATGTCAAGCACATAGCTCCCACTGGTGAGTGTGTAAGGGGTGGGTAACTCTGTCCTGGACTAACTAGGTGAGTGTGTAAGGGGTGGGAAACTCTGTCCTGGACTAACTATGTCAAGCACATAGCTCCCACTGGTGAGTGTGTAAAGGGTGGGAAACTCTGTCCTGGACTAACTATGTCAAGCACATAGCTCCCACTGGTGAGTGTGTAAGGGGTGGGTAACTCTGTCCTGGACTAACTATGTCAAGCACATAGCTCCCACTGGTGAGTGTGTAAGGGGTGGGTAACTTTGTCCTGGACTAACTATGTCAAGCACACAGCTCCCACTGGTGAGTCTTTGTCCTGGACTAACTATGTCAAGCACATAGCTCCCACTGGTGAGTGTGTAAGGGGTGGGTAACTCTGTCATGGACTAACTAGGTGAGTGTGTAAGGGGTGGGTAACTCTGTCATGGACTAACTATGTCAAGCACATAGCTCCCACTGGTGAGTGTGTAAAGGGTGGGAAACTCTGTCCTGGACTAACTATGTCAAGCACATAGCTCCCACTGGTGAGTGTGTAAGGGGTGGGTATGTCTGTCCTGGACTAACTATGTCAAGCACATAGCTCCCACTGGTGAGTCTTTGTCCTGGACTAACTATGTCAAGCACATAGCTCCCACTGGTGAGTGTGTAAGGGGTGGGTAACTCTGTCATGGACTAACTAGGTGAGTGTGTAAGGGGTGGGTAACTCTGTCATGGACTAACTAGTTGAGTGTGTAAGGGGTGGGTAACTCTGTCATGGACTAACTAGGTGAGTGTGTAAGGGTGGGTAACTCTGTCCTGACTAACTAGGTGAGTTTGTAAGGGGTGGGTAACTCTGTCCTGGACTAACTAGGTGAGTGTGTAAGGGGTGGGTAACTCTGTCCTGGACTAACTAGGTGAGTGTGTAAGGGGTGGGTAACTCTGTCCTGGACTAACTATGTCAAGCACATAGCTCCCACTGGTGAGTGTCTAAGGGGTGGGAAACTCTGTCCTGGACTAACTAGGTGAGTGTGTAAGGAGCGGGTAACTCTGTCCTGGACTAACTATGTCAAGCACATAGCTCCCACTGGTGAGTGTGTAAGGGGTGGGTAACTCTGTCCTGGACTAACTATGTCAAGCACATAGCTCTCACTGGTGAGTGTGTAAAGGGTGGGAAACTCTGTCCTGGACTAACTATGTCAAACACATAGCTCTCACTGGTGAGTGTGTAAAGGGTGGGAAACTCTGTCCTGGACTAACTATGTCAAGCACATAGCTCCCACTGGTGAGTGTGTGGGGTGGGTAACTCTGTCCTGACTAACTATGTCAAGCACATAGCTCCCACTGGTGAGTGTGTAAGGGGTGGGTAACTCTATCATGGACTAACTAGGTGAGTGTGTAAGGGGTGGGTAACTCTGTCATGGACTAACTATGTCAAGCACATAGCTCCCACTGGTGAGTGTGTAAGGGGTGGGTATGTCTGTCCTGGACTAACTATGTCAAGCACATAGCTCCCACTGGTGAGTGTGTAAGGGGTGGGTAACTCTGTCCTGGACTAACTATGTCAAGCACATAGCTCCCACTGGTGAGTGTGTAAGGGGTGGGAAACTCTGTCCTAGACTAACTTTGTCAAGCACATAGCTCCCACTTGTGAGTGTGTAAGGGGTGGGTAACTCTGTCCTAGACTAACGATGTCAAGTACATAGCTCCCACTGGTGAGTGTGTAAGGGGTGGGTAACTCTGTCCTGAACTAACTATGTCAAGCACATAGCTCCCACTGGTGAGTGTGTAAGGGGTGGGTAACTCTGTCCTGGACTAACTAGGTGAGTGTGTAAGGGGTGGGAAACTCTGTCCTGGACTAACTATGTCAAGCACATAGCTCTCACTGGTGAGTGTGTATAGGGTGGGAAACTCTGTCCTGGACTAACTATGTCAAGCACATAGCTCCCACTGGTGAGTGTGTAAGGGGTGGGTATGTCTGTCCTGGACTAACTATGTCAAGCACATAGCTCCCACTGGTGAGTGTGTAAGGGGTGGGTAACTCTGTCCTGGACTAACTATGTCAAGCATATAGCTCCCACTGGTGAGTGTGTAAGGGGTGGGTAACTCTATCATGGACTAACTAGGTGAGTGTGTAAGGGGTGGGTAACTCTGTCCTGGACTAACTATGTCAAGCACATAGCTCCCACTGGTGAGTGTGTAAGGGGTGGGTATGTCTGTCCTGGACTAACTATGTCAAGCACATAGCTCCCACTGGTGAGTGTGTAAGGGGTGGGTAACTCTGTCCTGGACTAACTATGTCAAGCACATAGCTCCCACTGGTGAGTGTGTAAGGGGTGGGAAACTCTCTCCTAGACTAACTTTGTCAAGCACATAGCTCCCACTTGTGAGTGTGTAAGGGGTGGGAAACTCTGTCCTGGACTAACTATGTCAAGCACATAGCTCCCACTGGTGAGTGTGTAAGGGGTGGGTAACTCTGTCCTGGACTAACTATGTCAAGCACATAGCTACCACTGGTGAGTGTGTAAGGGGTGGGTAACTCTGTCCTGGACTAACTATGTCAAGCACATAGCTCCACTGGTGAGTGTGTAAGGGTGGGTAACTCTGTCCTGGACTAACTATGTCAAGCACATAGCTCCCACTGGTGAGTGTGTAAGGGGTGGGTAACTCTGTCATGGACTAACTAGGTGAGTGTGTTAGGGGTGGGTGACTCTGTCATGGACTAACTAGTTGAGTGTGTAAGGGGTGGGTAACTCTGTCCTGGACTAACTTGGTGAGTGTAAGGGATGGGTAACTCTGTCCTGGACTAACTAGATGAGTGTGTAAGGGTGGGTAACTCTTTCCTGGACTAACTAGGTGAGTGTGTAAGGGGTGGGTAGCTCTGTCCTGGAGTCACACATATACTTTTGATTGGCCTGGAAACACAGAGACTGTTGATTGACCTGGGAACATAGAGACTGTTGATTGACCTGGAAACACAGAGACTGTTGATTGGCCAGGGAACACAGATACTGTTGATTGACCTGGGAACACAGAGACTGTTGATTGACCTGGTAACATAGAGACTGTTGATTGGCCTGGGAACACAGAGACTGTTGATTGACCTGGTAACAGAGAGACTGTTGATTGACCTGGGAACACAGAGACTGTTGATTGACCTGGGAACACAGATACTCTTGCTTGGCCTGGGAACACAGAGACTATTGATTGACCTGGTAACAGAGAGACTGTTGATTGACCTGGTAACACAGAGACTGTTGATTGACCTGGGAACACAGAGACTGTTGATTGACCTGGGAACACAGAGACTGTTGATTAGCCTGGTAACACAGAGACTGTTGATTGGCCTGGGAATACAGAGACTGTTGATTGACCTGGGAACACAGAGACTGTTGCTTGGCCTGGGAACACAGAGACTGTTGATTGACCTGGTAACAGAGAGACTGTTGATTGACCTGGCAACACAGAGACTGTTGATTGACCTGGAAACACAGAGACTGTTGATAGACCTGGTAACACAGAGACTGTTGATTGACCTGGAAACACAGAGACTGTTGATTGGCCTGGGAACACAGAGACTGTTGATTGACCTGGTAACACAGAGACTGTTGATTGACCTGGGAACACAGAGACTGTTGATTGGCCTGGGAACACAGAGACTGTTGATTGGCCTGCTAACACAGAGACTGTTGATTGACCTGGAAACACAGAGACTGTTGATTGACCTGGTAACACAGAGGCTGTTGATTGACCTGGTAACACAGATACTGTTGATTGACTTGTAAACACAGAGACTGTTGATTGGCCTGGGAACACAGAGACAGTTGATTGGCCTGGGAACACAGAGACTGTTGATTGGCCTGGGAACACAGAGACTGTTGATTGACCTGGTAACACAGAGACTGTTGATTGACCTGGGAACACAGAGACTGTTGATTGACCTGGGAACACAGAGACTGTTGATTGGCCTGGAAACACAGAGACTGTTGATTGACATGGAAACACAGAGACTGTTGATTGGCCTGGAAACACAGAGACTGTTGATTGACCTGGTAACACAGAGACTGTTGATTGGCCTGGAAACACAGAGACTGTTGATTGGCCTGGGAACCAAGAGACTGTTGATTATCCTGGTAACACAGAGACTGTTGATTGACCTGGTAACACAGATACTGTTGATTGACTTGTAAACACAGAGACTGTTGATTGGCCTGGGAACACAGAGACAGTTGATTGGCCTGGGAACACAGAGACTGTTGATTGGCCATGGAACACAGAGACTGTTGATTGACCTGGTAACACAGAGACTGTTGATTGACCTGGGAACACAGATACTGTTGATTGACCTGGGAACACAGAGACTGTTGATTGGCCTGG